TAACAATTTCTCTCTATCCGACGGACTTCTTTCCCCACTCTCAATTCAAGGGAGGTAACTATAACACACACCGTTTCTCTCTCTCGCTCTTCTAGGGAGGCGTTTCGCCCTCTCTCCGCCTCTGAACTATTCCGATTTTACGTTTTCCGTAGACTCACAGGAGTTAAAATGCAAACAATGCAATCACCTGGGTTGTCAATGAAGCATTGTCGCTCTCCGTCCAATACCCAGTTCTCTCTCTTTCCCGGACAATATTAAATATCGATCAACAATTGCTATTGACAATCAGCCTTTTATAAATTGTGCCCAGAGTTTGCTAGGTATCCCTTCTAGCTACGCTGTATTTTTACGTTCAACATAATATAGAACTGATACACTGGCATCGGATTCATAGTTCTCTAATGAGTGTGGTGGACACCGCTTATGTTCCTAGAGGTAGGAAACAACAAGGTAAACGCGGAAACTCTGCCATCTACAAATTCTTAACAGCTCAAAAAGCGTTGTTGCATGTGTTCGCTAGAAACATCCGGGCTCGCGTTACTAAGCGATGCAAGTGAAGAGAATGCGGATCGGCTGAAAGAAAGACTGAGATGAACCAAGGGAGGAGTCCAACGGGACAGATATTCATGCACTCCTCATCTCCGCCCTCCCCATTTTACAGCATTCCTCGCCTCTTTCCCCGGAGCACTGAGCTCAGCAGAAACGTTAAACTCTTTTGAGGGATAGCAACGATCCATATAACCGCTCTCGGTTACCTGACAGACATTTGCAAGAGTTACAGGGCTGTTTTCTTTTTACGTATCTGGGTGACAAAAAAAATGCCCCCTATTGCCCCAATGTCCGCTGAATCGTGTGTTCCATTGTCTCTGCATACCGCGAGCTAAGGTCAATGGCTCTGATCACGAATTGAAATATCACATGGGGTACACGTGCAGAGCTTGCAAATGTGTTTCTGCTCTGCGAAGACGTGACAGAGAACAAAACAATTATAGATACAACTCAGAACTACTTTTCTAACAAAATAACAAAATCAGCTAAGAACATGTTGAGAGCCCTCCTTTGGAACTCCTCCTACATTCTAAAACCTGGCAGGTCTGCCCTACAGCCTAGGTCGATATAACTTAAGACGCTCCAGGGTGTGACAAAGCTTCCCACGCTCTCTCTGGCGAAAGAAACTATACTGAGTTTAACATGTTCTCTTCTCTTTAGTCTTCTTTAAATAGTTGTGTGGGCTTTAAATTAATTCAGAATAAATAAAACGCATTCCAGTTTTGAAAGGCAAACCAATGTGACCGTGTTTTTCTGTCCCCAATACCACGTACTAGATAAAGAAGTTTCTGTTTAGCAACAACGTATTATATATTATCTTCATGGGGTGAGTCTTTTGATATAGTACAAAATGTTTTACAGTGCTCTGAACAACCTGACACACCACGAGGACGAGATCCCTCTTGAACCAGTCTCTCCACTCAATAAGAACTTCTACTGCAACTGATTTAAAACATTAAGTTATTGGAAGCCTTCGGGTCTGCATTCCAGAACCAGAACGAGATGTAGCGAAGACATTTCCTATAGGTCTTTTTATTTTCGCAATTTCAAGCCATTGCAATAGATCCCAAAAGGTGACATTAGCGCATTAATGAAAAGAAACAAAGGGGAGGAGGTTGGGTGGAACAGCTGATAAGGAACGGCGATTATTAGGTCCTATGCAGAGGAAGTCAGACCTGAATGATTTGGGTATTTCTAAAGTTAAATGCTATTGATATTCAGGACTGTTGACATTTAAAAAAAATCCGTGGAGGACAACGAAAAATACAAGGAAATCTATTTTGTTGTAGAGATACGTTGCTATCAAATAGAAAGATTATTCAAACGCGCAGAAGAAATTAGCAATGTATTGTGTTGTCTCCGATTTCTGCTATTTTTCTTTAAAAAATATCTATATCGTTATTTTAGAACAAGCTAACATCCCGTTCCCAGTCAGGTGCCACAAGAACATACCAGACTAATTCGCTCAGAGAGTGAAGAAAGGACCCCAGTCAAGTAAACACAGAGCTCACTCCACGCACTTCAAATACAGAAGGGGACTTGAGTTGAAGCAACATTCCATCAGACACGCTAATATCGCCGAATGGCTGATCTACACATGACATTTCGCTCCCCTCCCCCCCATATCTTTTTCGAGCTAGTTTGTACCGAAACATTTAGAACAGATTAGAAAGTCTAATGCCACACAGCAGTTTGCAACAACTGGGGGAGGGGGAGAAAGAAGGAAGGAAGGAAGGAGGGGTGGTCCTGGCATGCTAGGATCAGCTCAATAATTGCTTACACCTTCAGGTTAAGTTCTTTTCAGGACCCAAACATGTGGTTATTCCCTGTGAGGAGCAAATGTAAAATGCTGCCTAGCCAACTTAGTGAGACCTCACTACTTCAATTATAATTTGCTAATTCAGACTTATTGCCTTTAAATATCGAGTTTCAAGGGACTACCATCAATGCAGGCTTAATTTCATCCCACTGATGAAGGGGGTTTATAAAGGTCCCTGCGGTGAAAGCCAAGGGGGAAAATATCAGTTTGATGCTTTCGCTAAGAATGTCAAGGTGGCACATACATTATTAGGCGATTACACGTTACGGCTCAGCACTGTACAATTATTTTGTGCCTGCCTGTTTCTGGCAGGATGGGCTCCGGCTTTTCGTGCCCGCTGCTCCCAGGTTCTCCATCAATGCCGAGCAGCGGAGTGACTCTGCCCAGAGCACCCTCTGCACAGTCCTTAATTCGGCAGAGCCTAGGGACAGAGGAGCACGAGTTTATCTTCCCACGGAAGTAAGGCACCTATTACTGAATTTAGGGCAACTGGGATGGAAGGGAGCAGATCACCTCCATGCACACGTGAGAAGCTATCCTAAAGGCAGCGCTTCCTGAACCAGCTTTATGCATCATAGGGGTGCAGATCCATTTGTTCCACACAACCCAGGTGGGGTTTTTTCCAGCTTAAAGTTATACTCGGAGAATTCTCACACGTGTTGTGCTTCCACGCGCGGCTTGATTGAAATCTTCTTTCCAGCTAGGGTAGAGGAATTTCCATCTCTTTAATCTTAGACCTAAGCCTTAGGGCACTGGTTCAGAAGCAATAGGTAGACCAGAAGGCCACGGAAGAAATAGATTCGCTTACAGAGCCTAAAACCTATAGAATCAGAGGGGAGCTGAAGTCAAATGTTTTGGGAAACTGAACTTCCTGGGAAAAACGAACTGCCACTGATATGACTTGTTTAAGATTTCTGTTGGGTCACTGCTGTCCTAACGTGAAAGTAAATGTCACATCAGGGAGATCACTGGCCGAATCCGCAGCGCGTGAACGCCAGCTAAAAGTGAGCTCACAACACCATTCCGATGGCAAAGATGCCCACAAGTCATCTGAAAAGCAAAGGTCACATATAACACCGATGTCTGTTTTACACTATGTACATAAACAATTAACCCAACCTCTTGTCCCAAACTGGGAGGCATTTTCCAAAGGGAGTTGGTATTTTGGAAATCCCCCAGAATGAATTGTACCCTTCAAAATTAGTAAACACAAATCTAAACATTGATATATTGTGAAATTAAAATAATTGCTTATTGTAATTGACGGGAAACACGATGTGAAAGCCCCCTTCTTTAATTCCATATGTCGCAAGTTAGGGAAATGAAAAACCAACCTTTCCCGGAGTGCTTCAATAGGGTTTGTGCTCCCCGCTCGATTTTATTTTGCCAGCAGAAGTTTCTTCCTCCTCCATCCGAAATTGCAGTGAATCTGCTAACGACACTTCAGGATGATTGTCTGGACAGGGCATCAGGCGAAACGTTTAAAAATACAGCTGTGTGAAACCCTAGCCCCCCGTCTTCCACTTCTTTGAGTTAAGACATTTCGGGTGGCTTGGCGTTCTATCATCCTCACTGTCATAAACCTAGTCATAATAAGAACAAATACTGCTGCCTTTCCGAGTTTACTGTGCCAATAGCCAGCATGGATATTAGGATTAGATTGAAAGCTAAACTCTTTCTAACTACGGTGCACTCGCTTTTAGGGTCGATTTTTCCCCCCCAAGAAGAAATATCCTAGGGCCCAATCTATGCAAACACCCCTTTGCCCGTGAAACAGTAGACAGTGATTTTCTGAACTCAGTGGAAACTATCTACCGGTGTGAAAGTTATTCAAGTATTTAAGATTTCGTAATATCGGTCTGTCCTCTGGATAATATTTTTAGAAAGCTTCAGTTGTGCATTAAATGTTTACGAGGTTTATCTCTTCGCAGGATCTCTTGAAAACAAGAGTCACCCTATTATCAGAGAAACTTGCATTATTTCCAAGCGTTTAAACAGCTAAACCAAACCACTTGCCGCCTGTTTTACCACAGCGCTGACAAAAATGCCTTGCATCTATACTTTTACCTTTAGACAGATCTAAAGCAAAAAGGGGGAGAGTGGAATGGAAAAATAAATAGAACTTTAATTAAAGCCACATGGATATGATTTAGTTAAATACCTACGCAGAAGCCGACACAGTATTTACCTCTTCACCTGGAAGTTGCAGAAGTTGTTGCTTTATTCTAATGAAAGGGTTCGGAACGCAGCGGTGCTGTTTTGTTTGGTGAAATTCTACGGGGAATGGGTTGGTTCTAGAATCATAAGAAAAATGCACAAACAACCTACACAGAATTATTTCCTTGTTGGTATTCTCTCTAATTTTTCAAGCCAGTGGACAGCCAACTCATGACAGTCTCTGTCCAGTTGGCGATAAAAGATACGGACGCTAATTAGCAACATATTTTATTCTTTTATGTTTAATTTCAAAGCTACAGCTTGAGCTTTAGGCTGCTCAGATGTTTCTTTTTTATCTTAATGGAAAAGGTTTTATTCAGAGGAACTTGGGAGATTTGGGTAAGAACAAAAACGAGCTAGTTGGTTTTAGAATCTGCACCGTTTCTCTGGGCGAAACAAACACACTCGGGCTTCGGATTTCAGTAGAATAGATAAAACATACATTTCACACATACTCTTGCTTTCCCTAATGTTTGTCGTCTTTAACTACACAGAAAGAAATGTAACCTGAATCTTTGTTTAGGTTTGGGGGAGAAGCTATGGCAAACGATGAAGACAAAGCTCTTTAGAAGGGTTAGCGGTGCCTGTTCTTTTAAGAGCAAAAAACTGGAGCAAGTTTGCTTGTAACGATAAAGATCTCAACATGTACAGAAGGCGGGTTTTACACAAGGAGGTGAGGCTAGAAAGCCAGCAAAAGGCTGCGGGGTTTTTTTTTTCTTTGCAAGGTTCCACCCACTTGAAAACAAAACTTTTTTTTCTGAAGGGCCTCACATCAGTGAAGTTGGGAACAGGATCTTAAGAACACCCTTGCAAGTAGGGGCAACAGACGGGCCTTGGAGCTTTTTTTCCCCCACCCCACCCTTTAAAGGTGCTTTTGTGTTTTATCTATCGTTGGAAGCGCTGCCCTTTCTGGAGTTGGTATGTGATAACAGGTCCCAGCAGTGCCATGTATTGGAAGAGCGATCAGATGTTTGTGTGTAAACTGGAAGACAAGGACATCCCTGCGCTTGGTATTTCCACGGAGAAGGTGAGCGGATCCTAGGCAAAACCCAGAAGCGCTGCAGGGAGCGCCAATTGGCGGTTTCTCAGGGATGCAGGCGCATATTTCCAAACTATGAGCTCCATAATTTTTCGAGTGTTAGACCTGGCAGTGGATTATAATTCGCGAAGCATGTTTTGATAGCTAAAGCGTCCCGCCGGAAAGGAAGAGGCCTCGGGGAGGAGGGAGGAAATTGTTTAGCTTTGAGACACACTAAGGCCTTTAAATTAATCTGAATAAAGGGACAGTCCAATCAGCCCGATAATTTTAACTTTAAAGCCGTAAACTGATACAAGTAGAGCTCCGAATTGAACTCACTAAAGATGCTAATATGAAAATAAACCTAGCTTGGTAAATGTGTACCTAGAAAATAGAGACCTTTCACCGATGAGAGAGAGGCTATGTTGTGGCTATGTTAATTTGCATAGGAATATTTAAAGTATTCAGGAGCGCGCGGTTATTTTCTGACCAAGTAAAGCGAATCCCGTATTTTTAGGGCAATCAAAATTAAAAAAAAAAATCCAGAGTGGTTCTGTACAAATAGCTTTGAGTGGAAAATATCACGCGCAATGAATATTAATCCTTGGGGAATTTAAGCACTATTGCATCAGATGCGCTGTAGATGTGTACTAGGTTCATATACAAAGCCTGTTTTGTACTTTTCCTTTTAAGGAACCAACAATAGATTTTTCTCCTGCGCTGGCTTTCGTATAACTTCAGGAAGCTTTGAAAACTAGGAAGTGGTTGTGGGGTGTGTAGACAAAAACAGCTACACTCGCTATCCGAAAAGCAAGGCGTACGTAGAGCTGGGAGCGTGTGCGGAACAGCACTCGCGCTTGGATTGCTTTAAAAAAATGTTGACCCGCGATTGAACAAAGGTGCGATTTTTTTTAATGGCACCAAATTAAATTCAGCTGGATATTTTCCATTATTCGACTTGCTTTCTGCGCCGCTTAAAAATAATCCTCTAGGAGCTCAACTGTTGTCTCTTATTGAGCGTGTAAGTGGCAATTTACACCTTAAAGCAACGAGTGTAAGGCGCTCGCGGCTCTAATTGCAGCAAGTTTACCAAGGAGCCGCTGGCTGCCTTGACTCCGAAGCGTTTTCATTCAAAGCGTCACTGGAACAAACAGCAGGCTGCGGTAATTAGCCTTCAAGTGTCCCATTAAAGCTCTTTC